GGGGGGTCTGCGATTTCCATGGCGTCGTTAGTGGATTGCAATACGGCGAGCCTGTTGTGGGTGTTTATTTGTATCGTTGATTGTTCGTTCCGAGTGTCGATCGTGTCTGGTTTTGATGTTTCTATTTTCCGTTTCTTTGTAATATTAGCATTGTTGGTGCGGAGGGTTCTGCTGCACTTCTGCCACGGAGGAGGTAACGTGGGGTACTTGCGGGTTTGCTCAGGAGAGCCTGGTCGCGATTGCTGGTCCATCATCGAGCTAGTCAATTCAAAGTGAATAGCTAGTCGTGAGGCTATGAGACTAGTATTCGGGTTGGGGTTAGGTGCGTGGGATTTTCTTCTCCCTAAAGGGTAGAACTGAGCACGGAAAAGGCCAAAATAGTAGTCTTTGAAAAAAGAAGGAACAAAAGGAGACAAAAAAAATGGAAATAGGACACTAGAGACACGTCTGCACGCTTCGGCACTCAACAGCGAACTGTATCGTACTTCGTGGCTTGAAATGTTACTACTGCGGGAGATATCGGATGTTGCCATCGGTATCTTTGAATCTGCTTCTAATGGATTCGTTGTTGAATTTTAAGAGTATCGAATCCGGCAATTCCCTCTCTTCCAGCTGATCTGTTTAAAGTGCTGGCCGTGAAAATGTCTTTAAAATTCCCATTGCATCCATTAAGCTATCAAAAATTGCTGTTTCGTCACAATAGTCACAGACTCAGAAACAGTAATATAATAGACAAAACATCCTGAATGCCACAGCCATCGAAACAATAACCAGATAGTAACTGGATAGCCGCGTATGATATACACCGGACGATACCCCCCCCCCCAGGAGTAACAAACCTTAGTATTAGAACCTTCCTAAATCAGCACCCTTTTTGTTATAACACTCTGAATCGTTACTCTGTTGGATTCGTACAATAAATTTTACTATTACGTCTAAAATCCAAATTTTTACCTTACTTGTGAAACGTTCGAACTACGACACGAGGAGATCACCGGTGATCTGTCAATTTCGTGAATTCTTGTGTCTCCTACGTGACACAATATAACTCATGATCCCTCATCTAACGTTATTGAATAGACTTCTTCATAATTACTCTTTCCTACAGTGCATTCAAAATAACAGCCTGAGCGAGCGTTGCTTCAATAATTTGTTCTGCATCAGCAAATTGTTAAACGCTTGCGTTCCCCAATGTAGACTTCAGCTGATGTTTGCTTTTATTGGTGGGAGTCCGCAGGAGTCTACTTTCATTGCGAAATGACATGTGACACAATTAATCACTCTATCATATTTATTAAATTATAGAAATATCCTTCTCTGTCACTGTTCAAAACATAATATCGGTGCCGCAGTACAGTTAGTTTTCTCATTCGTTAATAAGAATTAAGAACTGAAATGAATAGTAAATAGATAGAAACAAATTATCTTCTTCTTAACGACAATAAAGATCATTTTACGTTGATTGTGTAATATTGATCGCTGTATTAAAAAATGTGAAATGATAAAGTTTTCCAAGAAAATACTACCAGCTCCGAAATGTATTAAAATGTATGAAATAATTTCAATATCAATGTAACAATGGTTCAGATCACTTACTGAATAGCAACTTAAATCATATATTGTAACATTTTCCAAGACTTTCCAATTAAATAATTATTTAATAATATTTCGTAATTAAATTATTACGAAAATCGACTTTCCGTTATAATTCCAATAGTTAGCTTATTGAAATTCAAAATTTTTATGCTACTTTTGAAACTAGCAATAATAACCAGAATGTTAGTAACTTCATTTGGATTTACATTGAAATTACTAGTAATGAAAAGCTAGATTTACTCGAAAAAGAAGCGACAAACGAAATTTATACTTGCATCAGGTATCACAGTTTCACTTACAGTCTTCTAGTCCATTAACATTTTTTATTCAAGAACAGATTGAAAGTAGAAATGTTTTTGGATAATCTGATTCGGGACAATATTTAGAACAATATGACCGACTTTGAGACAATTTTCCTCCACCGAGATATAAATAAAATATCGATTGTACGTAAGAAATTTTCAGTCGGAAGCTGCAAATGAAGTTTTACAATAGTTTGCAGCAAGTTGCTAATAAAATTGTTTTTAAGCCGAGCCTTATTGCGTTGCGATAAGCCCAATTGTTAGGTTGCAAATGAATAAAAACTGCTTGTCAATGCGCAACAGGCTATCCACATCTGAATTATGGCATCTGGAAATACCTACACTACGAGAATAAAAGCAGACGCCAAGTATTACTAACAATTTTCCTTAGACTCTCCTTCAACGAAGCTCTGTCTTTCGCTTTGTATTAGATGTTTCTTATGTGATCTTGATATTAAAGGCTTAAAAGTTATTTATAATTTTCTTAAACCGTGTTCCGTACGAATCGTATTAAATTTAAAGAAATAATGAGAATTGCAAACCTTTTAATGTTCACTACCTAATTAGAAGTTGCAGTGATAGATTGATAATGAAAGATAGAAATACTACATTTGTTATATAACCCATGTCGCATTTGGAGTTACTAATAAACAAATACATACATAATGTAACATTGATAACAAAAGAAATATTGCACTAGGAATGTTGTACTCGCGTCCACTTGTGTCCTCAATAAGTCAATTCAGAAAGCTGTAAATATGGTACAGCTAAAATTACATAATTTTTCTTGAGATATTACAGAATATCTTCTGACATACTCTAATAGTAATATGCGTTATCTTGAATGTAATTCAATTACCTCTACAAGTGTAAACATTTCAATTTTCAAGATTGGGTGAGATCATAGATATCTTCGTGGAATGTAGCAGACAAATACCGATGAAAAATACGTTGTGGTATCCGAGTTGCACGGTAGTAGCAAACAGATATGTTTACGATGCACTGAATATACTTCTAAGTGTTTTACCTGCATTTGCCGTGGATATCTTTTTAAGGCTTCACGGTGGTAAACCAATGTGAGTATTCTATCGTTTGTCAACCACATCAAAATACTCAAAAAACGATATTTCAGGGCAATGAATATGAGCAAATTTTACAATAAATTAGTCACAGCGACAGGCTACTTCAACTCGAATGAATGGTCTTTCAAAAGAGATAACATTGCCGACATGATAAACAAGGTGAAAACCTTTGAAGATGGAAATCTTGTTAAACTGGACTTGCAGGATATGGATTGGAAGAAATATTTAGCAAATTACTTGGCGGGAATTAAGATATTTGTTCTGAAGGAAGATTCTCAATCTATAAATACAGCAGCGCAACGGTTATCGATGTACGTATAGAAATATTTGATAAAATGACTCGATATGATATTTTCTTTTATTTTAGATTCTACTGGATACGTCAGATAACTAAAGGATTCGGTATAATCATTTTATTTCTGATAATATCGGTAACAATATTGCTATGCACCGACTACTTCAATGTTATGTTTCCTGCTTGAATCAAGAACAACGTATATGGAACATTATGGAAAAGGGCCTTGGAATAGGAACATGTCGCTACATATAAAGGGTATCCGGCAGAGTTATATATTATATACTATATAGTATATATGTGATATGCTCTTCGAATAAAAACTGTGGATAAATGAAGTTATTTGTCGATATTGTGAATAATATATATATAATGCTATTGTATAATATTACAAATTATTAACATATATTAAATACACTAGATAATTCAGAACACTTTATTGCGTGTTTGCTAGCTACGACCGTGTCACGTAAAATTGATACTTCGATTTTAAGAGAAAAGAAGGCTGAGTCGTAACCCAACTTTTAATTACCTTTTATCGAATTTTATTATAAATTTTAGCACTTACAAGAATAACACTGAACCGGAGAAAGGTGTTGTACGAGAACAGCGGCTAGAACAAGAACTGCCCGAGCTGGCTGAAGTCTCGGTTTATATACGTTTTGATTTGAGGATGTTGTGGGGGCTCGGTGTAGGTTATGATGAGGAAAAGTGTCCGAAGGTGGGGGTCGATATCCTATCTCTGATATGGACTAAGGTGCGTCACAGCCTTGGTGTAGGCTCCGATGATAAGGTGGTGATGTGTCCAAAGGAGTCCGAAGGTCGGGGGTTGATGTCTTATCTCTGATGTAGGTTGAGAGGTGATTGATGTCACAACTGCATGGTGGCAAGGAAGAACGGTTAACAACTAACTAGAACAAAAGAAGAAAGTAAGGCGACCGCACTTCCGCCGAGAACATCGATCCCGGTGGTCACGGCGGACCCTTTCCGCATAAGTTGAAGTACATAATCACATACATATATGTCGGGTTTACATTAGAATTAGGGTTAGGGGCGTG